TTTCCCAGAATTCTCAGGAGGCCAGGTCCACACAGAAGTCTCATTGGCTATCTCCAGACTGACAGCCTAGACTCCACCCCCTACACTCTTAATCCTTAAATTGACACCAGCTTAGGTGACTCCCACACTTGGTTCTTCACCAGAGTTGATTCCAATCAAGTGGACTTAAAGTGGACTCTCATAGTCCCACTTGCTTATTGGAAACACTGTCTGGATGGGGGTCTGACTCATCGGAAATTAATAGAATTTTCACAGGAAAAAAAGTCTCCATTTAGGGGAATGGTCTCCCTCATGGTAAGACAGAGCATCGGTCACACTTGTGTGTCTAGTTACAGAGTCTCATTGATTCCCAATGTGTGTGATGCTGGTCCTCGTTACCGATGGTCCAGCATGTGATTCAAAGGTGAAGCGCTGAACTTTGTCTATTAGATGGACAGAGAAGGCATGTAGAACAGGTGTTCTTCCATCAGTCTAGGTTCAACTGGGCTGCCTTTAAAAACTCCCAGGTGAAACAGTAGCCCGTGTATCGGATAGCTGCGCAGATCCTAGCCACGAGGCACTGTGTAGCATGACATTCAGAAGGCTTGAGAACCAGCGTTTGGATGGTGTTTGTTAGTAGCTGAAACACAGTAATTAGGGCAAAGAAGCATCTCTAAAGAGCTGCTTCTCAATAGAGATTAGGTCAGGAGCCAGTAATTGGGGCTCGTGGCTTTGGGGCACGTGAACCAAGCGCGATGACAAAGAAAACTTTGTATGTGTGTAGAGGCATTACATGTTTGCCGATGAGTGAGAGGTGGCTTTAAAGGCCTTAAAAAGAAGCATAGCTATGGTTCCACAGCCTCTTGAACTGATGGGTAGATAAGAGAAACTGACCTGACAGACTGGGCTAGTTAAATACCTGAGACAGTGCAGTAGGAGATAGGACTCAAGAGTAAAGGGAAGTTTGGAAGGTGCCCGCTGACATTCCAGCCAAGGAGACAGAGTCAGAGAGGTGTGTGGGCTGCCACAAAGGCCCTGTCATTTGACTGGTGGGACAGTTATGCTTTAGGAAAGACAGAAGCAGGGACAAGAAAATGGCTTACCTATAGACATTTCAAGGGTCATGGAAGCATTACAAAGGTCATAAACTAAATCTGAATTTTCTGATATCTTTTTTTAAACAGTTTTATTGGCACCTCATCTGCCTATCAATAGTTCATTCATATCAAGAAGAGCTGTACAATCATTACCTCAGTCAGTTTTAGAACATTTTCTTCTTCCCTGTACAATTGTTCTTCATGTAATTCTTTTTTTAATTATGGCAGAAATATACACAACCAAACATTCAATTCAACAACTTCTTCATGTATAATCCAGGGCCATTGATTATGCTCTTTTAAAATTTAATTTATTATTATTTTTTATACTCTTGAATTTTCTTATATCTTTATTTCTGATGGAGCGTCATGAATTCATATGTCGTCATCTTCTTGTGGAGTCCTGTTTAAGCAGAAACATAGACTTAGAGTGTAAGTTTTAGAAATCTCCCCCGATTAATCTAGGTCATTTTTATCTCAGGGGATGCCCAGAGGATATCTTCTCTTTCAAGATCCCTCCTGTTCCATTGATCGATTTCTTTCTTTCTTTCATTCATTCACTCACTCACCCAACACTAAGTCATTGCCCATTATGTGGCATTATGTGCCCTGCAAAGATTGACTAGGGATATAATAAATCAATAAAACAAAAAATTCTCTTTTTTTGGCTTTTAAGTTTACTCCTAAGGTTACCATTCACCTCAGCCTTTTGGAAATCAGTTCCATTGCGGCCCTGCTAAACTCCATGAACCTTCTAGTTTCCATGACGGGGAAGTGAGCAAGTCTGAGCTGGAAATTTAATGGTGCGAAATAGCATGTTGCTCTGGGGTGTTCACAGGATTAGTAGTTGAAAACCTGGGCTTGCGTGACCTTGTGCATGTAAGATGGTCAGTGTTTGGGTAACTATCAGACATGGTTGTCAATCTTAGGCCAGTTTGTTTTCTCTACTGGATCGGGTTTCCTCATAGGCTGTGTGAATACAGCATCACGCATATGAAGATTGCTCCCTGAAGTGCCTGGCACATGGTAATTGTTCAAGAAATGATAGGATCATTTTCTCTATAGAGAAATGAACAGAAGGATGTTACATACTTTGATTTCAAAAGTAGTGGTAGGTCCTGATCTATTTCTTTATATGGTGGGCTCTCAGAACCTCTCCTTTCCGACTCCCATTGATCCATCACAGGAATGGACGCCTTACCTTCGTTTGTATCTTTCAACACAGGCTACTTGGCATTCGATTTTGAGTTTGTAGTTGTTAAGGTTCCCGTCACAGCCACTGTAGAAAAAACTTTCACAACTTTTGGAAGTTTTGTTGTAGAAATATCGAAAGTGAACTTCAAAGCAGCTGCCCGACTCCATATCCATTGTGCATGGATCTGCGGAAGAGATTTCCATCAGGTTAGGGGGGGAGGGCTAGGACTCAGCAGGTGGGCTTATCTTTATGGGCACTTATCAGTCCATTGTGTTAGCTGGGCAACATCCCCATATTCAAGGTTACAAGAAAGCCAAGTGGTTTTCCTTTGGAAGTAGAGTCCTGTGGTAAAATGACCCTTAGACCCTAGGTAAGAGCCACAAGCTCTGGTCCCGGGCAGTGACGTGGAGAAGCAGCGAGGAGTGGAAGGGGGAGGTTCCATCACTAGCTTGTGCAAGGCGGTGAGTTTCCAATTTCAGTTGCCAGGTTGTTAAAGCTCATTCATCTCATGCTCGTCCATATGCTCATCTCCCTCTCTGCTTCCTGAACAGGCAGAGCACAGAATTCAGCGTGCCAACGCCCCCGTCTTCATGGATTCACTGGATCATGCAGACTACACATTTGGATAACTGGCCCTCTGCTATCTTTCAACCGCTGGCAAAGAATACCAATATGTATGTCTCTGCCATCTTGTCTTCTTCGCCCTCCCAGAGACAAATCCTCTGTGTCCACTGGGGAGCCAGTGGCCCAAATAGCCACGTTTGTGGTGGTGCTGGCAAATTGGGGGATGTTTGCTCCCCACCCCCCTCCCAAGTAGCCACCCTGGAGTTGACTTCCTGGGAAAACTAGCTATGGAAGTACAGTGAGTGACATGCATGGTCCTATTTCCAGCTCACAGTGACCTCCCGAAACTGAGCAGAGAAACAGAGGAAAGAGGCGCGTCCAGAATTGGGAGTGTCGCGCTCACAGCATGGACCATGCCACCTTCCTGTCTTCTGGAAGCACCGAGCCTGGGAAGCTTATCTGGGAAGAAAGCCGCGTTGCCCTTCTCTGCAGCACTGTGAGCTTCTTGACCTAAGGACCACCGAGTCAAGTGTTGCCTTATATCCAGAGCCCCGCTAGACAAGGCCTCAAATTGATCAGTCTCTAGTTCCCTTTTCCCGGTTCCTCTTCTCTGAAATCCACACGCTCGTGGTCTAGGATCTTTGAAATTGGCCACACCACCCTGAACCCAAACGACTTCCATCTCGTTGGACAATGCTAAAAAGAGCGCTCCACCTGGAAATGATTTCCTTGCATCTCCCATCTGTTCTTTTCATCCACTCCCCACAGGAGCCCCGAGTCAGGGCCTGCGGGCCTGTGAGAATGGGCAGCAAGGAGGCACCTGCCTAGACCACCTAGACAACGGGTTTTTGTCTTTTCAAAAAATAGTTTTATCGCCATGTACTGCACCTATCATGCAATCGAACTGTCTAGTCATGTGCCATCGGCACGGCCATTTCAGAACATTTAACTCTCGCCCTCCTTGTTGTTAAAAAGCAGATTCTTTCAACGACATTTCCCTTCTCCAATGGACTGTGGCTGTTGGATTTCTCTCCTGCCTCAAATTCATACCTTTGAGCTCCCCGCAAATCTTCTCAGTGACTTTAGCAACGCCGCCCATTGATGGAACGGTCCACCAGGAGCAGATGAAGAAGAGCCCTAGAAGAAATGCCAGCTTAGTCGGCTTCATGGTGCAGGCAAGCAGCAGGTCGGATGATTTGGGTCTAACACCCGATGTTATATCTGGGGCTTGGCTCTTGAGAGGACTTGAGCCCACACCCCTCACCCCAAGGGCCAGGACGCCGTATTCCTAGATGATGAGTTGGCCAATGAATGCTTGGGTACCCAGCCATGAAACAAAAGGTCCCAGGCTGATGAGACCCCTGATAGTGAGTTCCGTGTTCATCCAGAAACGATAGAAACTGAAGAATCAGAGCCACTGCACAGGCTTAACCTTGGAGGGTGGAATCATTAGAGCGAGGCATAAATGAGGGATGACTTCCTTCAACAGCAGACGGATCCCAGCACACCAGAAAGAGTATAATAAACATAATAGTAAGAGTAAGAATAGCAACTCACCCCTACAGTACTTCCTTCACACCAGGTGCAATTTTAAGCCACTTATCTATACTATATATAATTATCACCTCGACCCTATGCAATAGGTATGGCTATTATCATCATTTCACACATGAGGAAACAGGCAGAGGTTAAGTTACATATGCAAGGTCTCTCATCTATGATGCTGTGGAATTAAGATCTGAATTTGGCTCAAGGATCCATGCTTTCGTTTTTGTTGTTAGTTTATTACTATTTATTGTTACTGAAAATTAAGTTGCAGATATCAGGACCCTTCCCAAGCATATCAGCATGTGTATCCTAGGAATAAGGAGTAACCAGGGTAAAACAATCAACTTCAGGAAATGTCTTATTTATACAAAATGATTATCAATATAGAGTCTACTATTAAAATCCACCCATTGTTCAAAGACATATAAATATAAATATATATATCTATATTAAGTGAAGCAGCTTTAAAATGAGTTAAAAGGGAGATCAAGTGATAAGACATTACATTTTAACCTAACCACATCTGTGATAACCGACTTTACAGTGCTCTCTGTTAGTACTGCTACATCCCTCAACTATGGTCAGAGGGGATTCACTAGAGAATCCATGTTGGTGGACCCTGCAAATGGATTTTTGGCTTCCACCATCACCTACAGCCTTCAGCAAACTGTATGCTCACAATGTAAGCTCTGATACCATTCCCTCCTTTGGACTTGGATTGTATTTACAATCCTTGGATCACACAGGCTGATAATGTGCTTTTTCCCTGTGAACTTAGTTGATGCCTCACTTAGATGACTGCTTGTTTGAAGACAACTCTTTAAGATCCCAGACTCTATTCTTCTGATAGCTGGGCACCACCTAGTTTCTTCACCACATGTTGCTACAGCACTCATATATTGAGTGATCTCTTCATGAGGGTGAGCATTAAGCAGGGCCATGTCATAAGAACTAATTGTTTTTAGATTGGGGCTGGAATTAAGTGCAAGCCCAAATCAATTCATGAATGTTTTTATATGTCTCCAGTTCACTTTAGAGACATCATTATCATTTTAGGATAGAGAACATTATAAATCAACCCCTGGGGCATAAGGTTATTCTATTGATAGTGCCATTAATTTAGGTAGTAGTATAGAATTTAAAACACTGTTGAGAAAAGGAAATTAGACAAATATAGGCTGGCTTCAGACTGCAATACACAAATTGTTGACTTGCACAGATTAAATTCTTAAGTGGTTGGACACTGTTTACACAAACAATGGGGGTTGCTGATCGGGCAACAGTTTCAACAACAGCATTCACAAAGGCAGACTCACACCTACCAGATTACCACATGTCATAAGAAAGCGAGGAGGGCATTTAAGTAGGAAATATATGGTACTCCCAGGCCACCATTAATTGGGGACCCTCAAAACAAGGCATCTGAACCAAAGTCCAATGCTGCCAATTCCATAACCTTGGGGTAACAATCGTTTCTTCTCCTACTAGGGTGCTTCAGCCTTAAGCCCAAGGGAGTATGTCAGCTCGTTAAATCTGCTACAGGTCAGTTTGAGGTAAAGCCCAGTCTGCTTCGTGATGTTTCCACATTGAATCCTTCTGGTGTGGCCTATGAAGGATGTTGGGGGCCTCAAAAGGCCAGAGTCTAAAGTTCCAGTAGTCTGTACCAGATGGCCTGGGTTCTCAAGGGCTGGATAAAAACTAGACCAAAAGTGTTCAAATCGAAACAGCGTACTGGGCATATTGCCCCCTTGTGAGACATCCTACTTGGTTCTTCTTCTTTTTGAGAATTTATTGGCTTATCCTGGGCCTCTTTCTTCTCCATATGAAGTTGGCAATTAGTTTCCCCTTTTCTTTAAAGAATGAAGTTAGGATGTGGATTGGACTTGCATTTTATTCATAGATTGCTTTTGGTAGTATTGACATTTTCACAATAGTAAGTGTTCTCTCTGTCTATGAGCATGGGATAGTCTTCCATTTGTAAAAGGCAAAAGATTCATATAATCTGAAGAGAACCAGAGTATTCTGTATGTATCTTTCGCTCTTTTTGTAATCACGTCCTGTCGTGTTCTTTGTATAGAACTTTGGTTTCTTTGATTGTTTTCTTGATGCATTTTTCTGAGTTCTCATCACTCTCACCTGCCGGTAAGTAGGAATCCGATTGATGTCTGCTTGTTCATCTTGGATCCAATAGCCTTTTTGTGTGGAGTCCTTGGGGTTCTCGACATATAAAATTATAATGTCTTCAAATAGTGAGAGCCTCACTTTTTCTCTGCCCAATTGTATTATCTTGACTTCTTTTTGTTGTCTAATGGTTCTGGCGAAGACTTGCAGCACAATGTTGAATTAGAGTGGTGATCAGGGGTACTCTTGGGTAATTCCCATTTCCAGGGGAAATGTTTTCAGTCTTTCCCCATTGAGTGTGATATTGGATGTTGGATTTTCACATATGGCCTTTATTATGTTGAGAAATTTCCTTTCCATTCCTACTTTGTTGAGTGTTTTTTATTAGAAATGGGTGTTGGAGAAGCTGATACTAAAGCAAATGTTTAGAAAATGATGATGGCAACATCATGCTTGATGAAATTGATAAATGGAATGTTATAAGAGCTGTAAGAGCCCCCAATAAGATGATTTATATATATAAAAAGGAAATGGGTGTTGGATATTGTCAAATGCTTATTCTGCAATGATTCCTATGATCATGTGGATCTTGTTCTTTGTCATGTTTATGTGGTGGATTACATTAATTGCTTTTAGATTGTTGAACCATCTTTGCATCCCTGTGTGACTCCCCCTTGATGATGATGATTTCTATTTTACTATGTTGTTGGATTCTATTGGCCAGAATTTTATGGAGAACTTTTGCATCTATATTCATGAGGGATATTTGTCTGTAGTTTTTTGTCTTTGCGGGGTTTTTGCTTGGTTTTAGTATCACGGGTGTGTTAGGCCAGGTTGACTAGAGAAACAAGTTAAGTAACACTCATATGTGTAAGAAAGGACTTTATATCAAGAAGAAGTTATATATCAGGAAAACATCCCAGTTCAGTCTAGATCAAGTCCATAAGTCCGAGACTAGTCCGTAAGTTTGACACTAGTCCATGAATCCCTCTTCAAACTTACCAGCTACATGCAATGATGCAGAATGCAGGAAGAACACAGGCTGGTGGGAGCAGAGTCTTTTGGATCCAATGGCTGTGGACACATCTCAAGGGCTTGCACAGGTAGCAGTGTGGCTTGCCGGCATGAAGGTGAAGGCAGAGAGTGGGCCACCTCCTGAGAGCCATTTATCTTGGTGGTCCCTCCAAATGATATCATCAAGTGGCAACCTGATTGACAGGCTAGTCTCCATTCTTGTCTTGATGAACACTTGCTATTTTCCTTTTTTAAGGGGGGATGATAGCAATCTTTGTGGATGTGCGATGGTATCTCTTTGTGGTTTTGACTTGCATTTCCTTATAATATTGAGCATCTTATAATATGCCTTTGAATCAGGTTGCTCTTGAGATGTGTCCACAGCCTTTCCCCCTATTTGTGTATCTTATAGTCAATTATCCTTTTCCCATTTTAAAATGAGGCTAAAATGAGGTTACTTGCATTTTTGTTGTTAAGTTGTTGGAGCTCCATAGATATAATGGATATTAAAATTTTTTCAGATATATGGTTTCAAATATTTTCTCACATGCTTTAGGGTGTCTTGCCATATTTTAATAACAGGTTTGGGGCCTAAAATCTCTTTATATTTTAGGAATATTAGCACTTGATTATGACATATCATAAATATTTCCTCCAAGTTGTTAATGTTTTTACTAAAATATTTATTTTATGCAATTATATGTATCTTTCTTGGCATCTGAATCCCATCACAGTTTTCCCCGTGATCTGGTTGTAAAATAATTATTCCGTGGGTTAACATAAAAATTCCACGTTGTCATTTAGATCTTTGCTCCTTTGGAAGCATTTATCTTTTAAAATTATGTGTATATTTATTTTCTTCCCCCCTGTAAACTCGCTTGCAATTAGGAAACAGGATCAAGTTATATCTTTCAGAAAAGGAGAAACACATCTTTAGCAAAAAGAGAAGGTTAGTTGTGTGAGAGGAGAAGTTGTCCTGGCCAATGCCAAGTCCCACATCGAAAAGGACATGATACAGCAAACCAACTGCCATTGAGTTCATTCATTCAGACGTAGCCAATAGAGACCCTCCGGGCAGCGCAGAACTACAGCAAAACAGTTCCAAGGTTGTAAGTCTTTGCGGGAGCAGATAGCCTGTTCTTTTTCTAGCAGGGTGGTTGGCAGATTTGAACTGCAGCTCCACCCTTAACCTGCTGGCCCCTAGGGAGCCTTAAAGTCATTAAACCCTACTGCCTTTGAATTGCCTCCAACTCATAGTGACCTGATACAGGCTTTGGGAGGCTTTGTAAATTGAGTCAATTTTGCTTATAATGCCTCTAGGCCTTGTAAATCTTTATGGGTGGAGACAGCCTCATCTTTCTGTGGAGCAGGTGATGGGTCTGAACCATCGACATTGTGGTTAGCAGGCCAACACTTACATGACAGTGCCACCAGGGTTTCTTAAGGTCAAGATAAGGGCCAAATAGGGGCAAGCAAAGGGGAGGG